GCTTTGTACAGTAAAAGCCTATATTCACCAAAGGCATTTATATCATGTGATTAATTCAGACATCAGCATGTGTTGTTTTGGTAATGAATACTTGCACATAAAACACGAATATAATGAGGCAAAAAAGCATTGTAATTTTTTCTCCTAACAAGGCAGATTGTTCTGGTTTTCAGGTTCCATAATCCAGACAGCAAACCTTTTTACTCCTTTTAACCTTGACAGAAGCAGCTAGAAGATACTCCCTCCGTTCTTACCTTTCACAATAAAAGCCCTAGACATATACAGTGCATAATTGTGTATCAGAGGGAGCTCAAATTCACTCATTCATTCAGAGCATTTCTCTAAAAGGAAACCTAATAAAACGACTTATATTAGCTTAGGCCAGTGGTTCTCAACTGGTGGGTCCCAGTCCAAAATTGGGCCGGGGGTCCATTCTGAATGAATCACAAGCAACTAGCAAACATGTCAACTTTGTAAAAAACACACTTTATATTGAAGTACAGTAAAATTCTGTCACAGAGCTTTTAATTTAAAGTTCCATTTCCTGCTGTGGAGTGAGCGACTGAGGGACAGCTACTTGACAGAGACAGAAAACCACCTCAGCATCAACCACAAACACAAGTTTGATGCTAAATATATTAAACTTTGTGGACCTTAAGCTAATGACTTAGGAGAAATCTGGACCCTGTAACTGGACCATTTGGGAACCACTAGCTTGGGCTATACAACATCTTGACTCAGACACTGCTCTGGGTCAACACGATCTTGGCAGTTTTTGCAAATTAATATCATTACCAGTATGAGTAGTTTTGATTTGAAATATTCGCAGCCAAGTATTTCACATCTTTGTGTTGTCTATTTGTAATGCCCCTGCTGTTGAAAAGACTTAAGGAAGTATTTACAGAGGTCATGTGTTTATCCAGTGGCTGGTGCCATGTAGAGCCATTCCTCATGATCTAATTGCACCAGTCACTGGGTATGTAAAGCATAGTATGTGTAAACTGTCCAGGGACTGGTACATGGTGCTGTAGAACAGAGGAAAAGTCAGGAGATAACCAAAACTGGTAGTAGTCATCCTCTGGGGACCATGACTGCGTGTATGAAAATTAATCTCAAACTGTTTAGTAGGTGTTCAGACATTACTGCTTGGACCAAAGTGGTGAACCAACAAACAGATATGGCCAAAAATAGTATTGGACTTGTATTTAAATTAAACATTTCTATTAAATAACCCCACAGATGACCTGGCAATGATTAAATTGTAATGATTAATACAGTATTTCTACATATGCTTTACAGCTGTGCTGCTTCTGTTTTACAAACCTTTGTTGTATTAATTTGTTTAGAACAGCTGCAATATTGTTTCACCCAGTGGTCCATGTAAGTATAGCTTGCAGTGGAATCTGCCTTAATCAAAACGTAGCATAGGGATAAATTAGCTCCCTCGCATGAATTTGACTTATATAGCTATTCATTAGCAGGATCTCTTGGATGGTCATGAAATGGCTGGCAGTTTAATTGCCCTTGTATGTCAGCAGTAGGTCTAATTCAGGGCTCTCGATCATGAACATACCTGAAAAAGATGCATGAGAATACTGTGTTCTGATCACGCTGCCTAATTGGGTTGATAAGAATGCACGTACAGAAAACAATCTGTCGGCCTCTAGCCTGCCTGCAATACCGGAACATGTCCTGTATGTACAGTATTGTTGAATTTTAAGCCTTGTTTGCTTTCATATGGTGCTTATAAAGGTTTTGAGTCATTCAGAGAACTGTATAATGAAAACGTAGGTTAGAGGCAACAAGACTAATGAATGTACCTCAGTCGTCCTTGATCCAGGGTTCCATATAAATGAGTTTTAAAGCCAAGTATACTGTGTTTTAATGAAACATATAATGAAAGGATAGTTTAAAATAAGGCCTTGTAAAGTGTGCGCTCATTAAGTTATACAACCTGATTAAAAATGGTATAAATGTTGGGGCTTTTAGAACAGTTTAACAACTGATTAATGTGTAGAGTTTGTGTCTGTCACATTTAATGTACTGTCTTTTTGTTCTTTGGTTCACCTTTGTCCTGCTCTCCATTCTCCTCATCTTTCTGTCCCTCTGTATTAGTTCCAGCTGATTAGTAGTACAGGCAAATGGATAATAACCTGGGCCAATGTTGACAGCATTCATAACCTCAGCAAATGATTCAAATTCTGCAAAGAGGTTACTCTTTTGACAAAGGACAAATCCAGTACCTCTCACAATTAACCTTCAATAGTGTCTTTTAGTCCATCGTTTCAAGACAATTGACAATTCTTATTAGCTCAAAATGTTCTCTGTTTATCCATTGTGTGTTGTAAAATGTTCATCCATACCGTTTGTAATATGAGATTCCTCATGTTGAGGGGTAACTTCTGTATTTTTTAACCTGGACCCTATTTTTCCATGTTTTTGTGTAAAAGGAGGCTTTCACACATGCTCCGGTTGGTTCAGTTCAATCGAACTCAAGTTCATTTGCCCGCTAAGTGCGGTTCGTTTAGGCAGCTGTGAACTCAGCAGTCGCGCTGGGGTGCGCACCAAAACAATTGGAACTGTTGCTCTGGTTTAAACCGGACTAAAATCACCTTTTCAAGAAGGTCTCCGGTCCTGTTCCAACCAAACTCTGGTGCGGTTTGTTTGTGGTGAGAACGTGTTCTGACCTGGATCTGAACCAACTGCAGTCACATGACACATTGTTTGGGTCAAACATGAGCATGTTACAGTCCTGGAGGATTAATAATGTGCACCTCCTCCTGTACTGCCTTAATATGCACATTCAGCACATCCAATGCATCAAAACATTGTTTTCTAGTTGGAGCCGCGCCTCGTTTTCAAACTGTATGGTTTGACTAAAATGAACGATGACAGCAATATAGTCCACGATGAACAGCGCTAAAATCAATCTGCGTAGTTGATCCTCCATTGTGACATTAGAAAGTGTCACATTTATCTTGCAAGTGTACTCTTCTTCAACGTTTGGTTTACTTCCTGGATTTTTCCCGCATGGAAATTCTGACCAATCAAGAGCAGCTTTCTCACACAAGGCATTTTATGCCATCCACTTGTAAATGCTGCCATGAGAACACGAACCAACTCTAGGCAATTATGCAACTTTGTGACAAAATTAGTCCCTGATTTGGACCAAAGGAGACAACTCTAGGTCTGAAAGCACCCTAAGTGACTAACAAGATGAAACATTTTTGAAAGTGGTACAGTATTGAGCAACAGGACTGCAGCCAGCAGCAGCGAAACAGGCAGCGATGTAATCCCTTTGGGCAACTGAGCACCATTAATTCCAAAGGTGCTTGTTATTGCCACTGACCAGCTCAGAGCTGATCCCTAAAGAGATAATTCTTTTTGTAAAATCATTTTTGTTTAACCAGAAACAGCCCCGAAATTGCCATCACCAAACCCACTAGACTCCATTTCAATCAAACCAGAATTGGTGATTGTTGGAGCAGTGGAACAACAAACCAAGATGGCTTTTGTGAGTTTTATTTTGCCTCTGTCGATTAGTATGTTTTATGATGCTGAAATTACTGTTTATTTAAATGGAGTCTGAAAAAGGATCTTACTCTTTAACAAAACGTCTGTCTCTGTAGGGATCCTTTCAAAAATAATAATGTCAGACACTTCGAATAACAATTTAACCCGTCAGTTTTGGGGGATGTAAACTGATGGTGCTCAGTTGCCCAAAGGGATTACATTGCAGCCTGTTTTGCTGCTGCCAGTGCAGCACTCTCGCTCAACACTGGACCGATTTCAAAAATGGTTGTACCAACTAGACACTTAGACACAAATACATGGGGAAATATGGTCTGCATTGGATAAAAATTTACCCTTTAAATGTTTTTTTAACTCCTTCAATACCCTCAGGAAACTAAGAAACATACTGTTGTTGTGAACTGTGGCATTTGAAACGGCATGACTGTATTATTTATACTTAACATACTATTAATATTCAGTATATCGCAGCTTTGAGAGTCAGTGTTCATTCAAAACACACATATAAGCATCATTTTTTGCTGTTTGCAAAGGGTGAAATACACAAATTTCAGTGGAACATGTTAATATAAATTAGCTCATCCCACTCCTGATTCTCTCATGTTTTAATGCATGTGCTTGTGCGTCCCTGTTTTTCGACCATTTTGCCTCGTCTGACTCTCTCATCTCCATTTTAAATTCAGCCAGACACTGAGGGAAAAAAGTCAGTTCTATTCAGACATGTTATTATTCCCCAATTTCTATCCCCTCAGCCAAAACATGCTGTGAAACCCCCTGACATTCATTATCAGGATGACATGTTTTTCACGCTTGAGACAAGCAGTTTTGGCCATTAAGTGAGAGGGTAGGTCATTGTCTCAACACATGGACTGTCTGACAGGGACACACACAAGTGTTTTTTGTTGTGTGACCAATCAAACCATTTGTCTCAGGAGGAGGTTGTCGCGTCTTAAATGTAGCAACTGCAGTAGCCAATATCAGTGACTGTTGCTCGGCTCGTCCCCACAAAAGAAAATTCAACAGGACATTGTAGAAAACAATTATCAAGACTTTCCAAGTGTGACTTTCACATCACTTTGATTTTAGCTCGGTGGGTAAGGAGATCTTGGGTTGTGCATCAGTCAAGTTAATAAAGTACTTTAATCATGAATCTGTCTGTCACACCTTATCACAAATCACCGTTATTGGTGTCGTCTGTCGAGGACACAGGATATAGCTCTTTATAGTTCAATGTTATCACTGTGAAAACCAAATAAATCAGCAACCATATTTCTGTTTTTGGAAATTTTATATCATTTTTTAGTTGATTTAATTGTATTTAATTTCCCTGTATTGTCAGAAAAAAAAACTAAAATTTGTCGTCTGTCTCAGGACGTCAACTGTTTCACATAAATACACATAACCACAAAAATACAAAACAACATTGTGTTTCATATCTGTGTCTTTCTCTCTGTGTCTCTCTTCTCAAGGGCGCACCTAAACCCGTTGCGATGGAGCCGTGTTCAGGAGGGAAAGCTGCTGTGTTGACTGTCCTCATGCGTCTGCCCTCTGGGCCCTCAGACTTACCTCCACCAGGACAGTCAGGTAACACACATAAAAAAACATATCACTGTAGGAGTTTGTTATTCATGTGTGAGGTCAATTATCTTCTCAGAATTCATAAGCAAAAAAAAGGTCACTTCTCTGAAAAAACATTATATACTATATCAGAATTTTATTAGGACTTATTCAAATATAACTGATTTCTGTATTTCCAGATGGTGCACCTGCTTTTAGTGATTCCTTTTAGAGGTGCATTTTTGTATTATTTTCAATGAACATATATTGTCTTTATGTCTATATAGTGAAGTGTGTTGGAACAAAAACAGTGCATTTATGGCATTAACCACACACTTTTTTATTCTGATAAATGTTGATCAGTTTTAGGTTGCACCTGTTCAGTTGACACATTAACTACATTAACTGTTAACCTTTTGCTCAGCCTAGGTTGTGTATATGTATAAATGAAAGGTTCAGAGGCCTTTTTTTTTTAAAGATTGTAAACATGAGTTTTATTTTGTTAGGATTCGAACTCTGTTTTAAACTCATGAAAGGTTTATTGTATGGAAATAAAACCCTTTTGTAACTGACAAAGAGCCTGATACTGTGTAGGAGCAGAGCAGTAAACAACAATATCATCTGCATACAAATGAAAATTTGCATGAGGAACATTTTGACCAATACTGTTTATATAAATTGTAACTATGAGTGGTCCAAGGATTGAACCCTGGGGCACACCCTTTATTACATCACGAGAGCTAGAGGTAACGCCTGGACACACTTTGATCTGCTTTATAAGTAATTTATCAGTTTGTTTTGACAGTGCAATGTTACATGTATTTTACCAGATACTTGTTTGGCATGGTTCAGTGACCCAAGTCTGTTGGCATAAATATTTTGTGTTATTAGCATGAGTAGGACACAACAAGACTCACTGAATTCTATCATTTACTTTACTTGTCACAAAGCAGGTTCATTGTTACAAAGATTTTACTTCAAAAGTCAAAAAAAGTCATCCTATACACCATCAGAAACACACTGAGACTACATCCACGCCAATGTATTTTAAAACACAAAACTATTGCTATGTTTTTGCCTGGCATCCACACTACTCTGGTGTTTTAGAACTACTAAACCAATGACCTTTGAAAATGCTGCACCCCATTTTAGTTTGAAAACTCTGGGGTTTTGTTTAAAATCCAGTTCAGACCAAAGATTCATGAGACAAAACTGTTTTAGAACGTTGCCAAGAAAAGTTGCAGCAGTGTGTGACTCAGGCCGGCTGATGGTGTCACCTGCAACTCAGCTGGTCAAATCACTGGCAGCTGGTTTTAGAACATAAAGTACCTGTCTCTACAGCCAGTTGGCTTGTAGTGAAGTCTGCTGGTCAAGTAAAAATGACTGCAGACAGCATGTTTGCTTGCTGCAGCAGGTGCTCCGTCCCCACCGAGCCCTCTGTTTCTGTCCTCACATGTGCCGGTAACAGTCGGCTCACTGTATGTCCTCGTGCTGAAATGCTGAAATATTATAGACATACCTGTAATATATGTTTGTTTTTATAACTTGACAAAGCCTTTGGTGGAAATTGCCTATTTTTCCAGCACCCTCATATTTCTCTTGCTCTTTCCTTCTTCAGGTCTCATCGTTGCCAGTGCGCTGATAGACATTTCACAGCAGAAACCAACAGATTTTAAGGACAAGTCCCAGGGTTTAAAGAACCGAAAAGCCCTTCCTCCTGCACACCAAGGCACCTGCGTCTGAGTCTCAACCCGAACCCATCAATCCATTTGGGTCCCTTTTTATACCATCTGACGTCATATTGTTCCAATATGCCGCAGGTCACAATCGAAGGCCTTTCCAGAGACAAGACATGGCTACATGTAGAAGATCACATTTGGCTGCTACCACTCAAGTTTCCACTGAAACTTGCTGAGTCCACAAGAGCACAACCAGCCCTGCTTACCCTTCCTGCCCATTCGCTCTAATCTGCATAGATCAACCTCTGGTCATATGAATCCCACTCTAACCTCTGGAATAACTTTCCTCCACCTTACTGGGCCCAAATCTCATCCCCTTCAGCTTTGGTAGACATCATGGCAAAACTTGTCTATGCTAAAAGGGAACCTGCCTGATCAGTGACATCAGAGACAGATAAATCAGGAGGATCTGCACCTATTGAAGCTTCAGTCGTAAATATTTTGCCACACCTCATTGTCCATTTGCTCAGCATGATGGAAAAGCAAAGGTGTTTGTACATTTGGTCATATCAGACTGATTACTCTCACATTGTGTTGGAAATACAAGAGATGATTTTAAAAAAAATAGCTGGATGACATCCAGCACAAGCTGCCTATGGGTTTTTTTCCTCTTCTTTTTGCTTGCCAACAAGTGGTATTCTATGGTGCTAAAGCATTTAGTTCTTACGCGAAGCATTTGCTGTATGGACTGAAATCATTCTGCCTTTTTCATGGGGGGAAGCTACACACTAGGCCAGGACTTTTTAACACCTCGTGACCACATGACAGTGTTTTGACAACTAGAGTATTTTGACACACCACTTTTGCCAATTACCATTAAAGATCTGTTAAAGCATTTACTGTACATATGTATCATCCACCCAGCTGAAGCTAAAGTCTGTATTTTCTGTGGAGTACATATACGAAATGCTGCAGAGACATGAGACTGCAATCACTACCAGTGGCATGTGGGTGCAAAACCGGAGGCGGCACGGACAAACCATCACTCATCAAACTAAAGCATGGGAAAACTCCAAAACTTAAGAACAGTTATATGCATTTTTTTTTATTAGCGAACTGGAAGTTTTATTTGTTAGAAGATTAGTTTTCTCAGTGTGCTCACTCAAAGAAGTTGAATGATGCAGAGAAACACTGAAGGTCTGATCGATTGTTTACTGTAGTTTGTCATTGTGTCATTTTGCTGTGCAACTTGGACATTTAGGTTTTTGAACTTGCCCTTGGATTGGTGTGGTGGGTGGATGCCATTTCTGAGAAAGACGTCTGCTTAATAAAATTAGACCAGGGACATCATGCTCCTCTGGCTGTTTACTAGTTTGTTTTGTAAAGTTTTTTTAAGAGCCCTCTGACGCTACGACTTTATTTCCATCTTTGAGTACAAGGAGTTATGTTACCTTTTTATAATGCATTGGCTTTCCATTGAAGGAGGGGGCATGTTGATCTGCAGAATTTTAAAAGCTGTCGACCATTTTTAGCCCCGAAACCTCCACCCCTGAGCTGTACAGTGTCTTGTTGGAACAAATGTGAGTCTTTGTCACTCTTATCTCTTGAGATTTCATGTGTTTGTCAGGTTTTTATGACAGAATGGCAAGAGATTATCATTTATTTTAGGCCTTGTCACCTGTTACTATTATATCTATGATGAATTGTCTTTTGCTACACTTGTGAAAAAGAGCATTTCTGTTAATATTTTTTGTTTTGATATTTAACAGATTCCTGTGTAATAGCATTTAACTTGATTATGTTGTTGAATTAAATCGGTTGTTTTAATGTCAAACTCCTTTTGAATCGTGCATCTTTAAGGACTGTATGGGCATTGTCTTGCTTTTCGTTGCAAAGTGGTCGTTACGATGCATTTCATAAGGATAGTATGCTAGCTGATGTGTTTTTATTTTGTGTTTGTAGAGTAATCCTATAACAGTGTCATTACACAGGAATCAGGGTCTCACTGTACCGTGAAAAAAAAAAAGATGATAAACTGCATATCAGTAATCTTCAGTGTATTTTAAAGATGGACAACATGCCAGAAAATAAAAAGAAAAACAGACCTGAAAATCTTTTGTGCACTCGAGTCTTTTCACATACAGTACTTATAGACAGACGTTGAGTTCTATCCTTCTGTGTCTGCCTGTCTGGTGTTTTTATCTGTGAAGCTTAAACCTACAATTTGTAATCGTGTTCTGGTGCGTACTGTTCAACAATGGTTGATTGCCTCAGCTAAAGAAAATTATTCCTCCTGAAATTGAGAGAGAAACTAAAAACCAGACCTGGGTTTTGGTGTATTTTGTGCCAGTGCAACAACAGCATCAGCCTCTACTGTGACAACAACAGTCATCTACCATCCCTGCTGTATGGCAGTTGATCTTGTCCTCTGCTCGGAGGGTAAAGAGCTTCCTGACCTCATTGTCTCCCCAGACATTTTTGGTTCTTCTTTTTCTTCTTTAAGGCCCCAATCACACAGAACGCGTTTTGTAACCTACAAAACATGAGGCCAGGAACTGGTGGATTGCCCCCTCAGGGCTGGGACAGAGTTGCTGCCTCAAGCAAGGGAGTTCAAGTATCTCGGGGTCATGTTCACGAGTGAGGGTAGAATGGAGCGTGAGATGGATCAGCAGTTTGGTGCAGCTTCTGCAGTGATGCGGGCGCTGTGCCAGACCGTTGTGGTGAAGAGGGAGCTGAGCTGGAAGGCAAAGCTCTTGATTAACTGGTCCATCTACGTCCCAACCCCCACCTATGGTCATGAGCTCTGGGTCGTGACCAAGAGAATGAGATCGCAGATACAAGCGGCCGAAATGAGTTTCCTCTGTGGGGTGGCTGGGCTCAGCCTTAGAGATAGGATAAGTAGCTTGGACATCTGAGGGAGTTCGGAGTAGAGACGCTGCTCCTTCGTGTCGATTGGGGTCAGCTGAGGTGGTTCGGGCATCTGATCAGGATCCTCCTGGGCGCCTCATGCTGAAGGTGTTCTAGGCACATCCAACTGGTAGGAGGCCCTAGGGCAGACCCAGAACACGCTGGAGGGATTATATATCTCTTCTGGCCTGGGAACGCCTTGGGGTCCCCCAGGAGGAGCTGGAAAGCAGTGCTGGGGAGAGGGACGTCTGGGGTGCTTTGCTTGGCCTGCTGCCCCCGCGACCCGGCCCTGGATAAGCTGATGGATGGATGGAAAACGTGAGGCGTATCACACAGCCTTTTATCTTTTTTTAATTGAATGCCATTAGTAGAAAAACACTTGATGCACCTTTTTATTGTTCCACATCCTTACACTATCAAGCTTCCATTTTTTGTATGTATGTTTCTTTTTTTTCCTCAGTGATTAGTATCATATAGTTCCTAAAATGTTCAGGCAGAGACTACTTGCTGTAGCTCTGGTTGAGGGTGAGAGGCTGTCAGCAAATAGTTTGTTGGGTACATGACACGCTAAATAAGAGGGTGGATCATGGGGAGTACCACCAGTTGGTCCAGGAGCTTCGCCTCCATGATGGCTGTTTAAGGCATATTTTAGGATGATTTGGGGGCAGATTGACAATCTGCTGTCTATCGTTGGGCCATTTAGCTCTGAGTATCCAGCAACCGCTACCACCAGTTTCTCCTCCATGGTCTACCAACTGTAAACTTGTTGCCGTGACCACCATAGAAGGCCCACCTCTTAAATCATCCGATTGGACCATGGGAAAAAAAGATGATTGAAAAAAGAAATGACATGGGGCACTTTTCCGCTCTAAGTTGAAGATGTTTTTCAGCTCGAGGAGTTCAGAGCGCTCCGGCAAAAACACCCAGGTGCCTAGAATAAAAGGCTCCCCCAGCCGCTAAAACGCTTTCTGTGTGATCGGGGCCATACTCAGCTGCTAACTCTTGCTAGCTGCTTTTTAAATCTCCCGGGGGTGGGTTGCACACATAAAACGTCATCAAGTCATCACACCTCCCCGGTCCAGTCCTGCTGGCTGTCCCTTTTACACAGACATGTATTCGGTTACCATGGCCGAAACTGTCTCCCATTCTGAGATTGTACCTTTAATACAGAACAGTGAGGCAGATTAACAGTGTAACATTCCCACTTTGAACAGGCAGCGTAAACAGCGCTTTGACACCAAGTCAAAGAATGCATCAAATGCACTAATGAATTAAAAAATTAAAGCATTTTGTGAAATTTTATTTAGGAAATATCCAATTAAAAACAGGTTAAAGCAACGTAGACACATCAGTGAGTCCTCTTTTTAAGTGCTTTATCATCTCATCTGTATTGTAACAGCTCTGACAACAGGGAGAAGAAATCAAACCCAAATGCAGGTTATATAAAAGCTAGTTTTGCCTTTAATATTCAGCAGACATGTCATCAGAACTGTAACAAGATCTTTTATTTTGTTAAACTTCACCTGCAAGGCGCACCGCGGGCTATACATGTGACAAAAAAGAACATGCTGCATTAGCCTCTTCTAAAGATGATATTAAGAGGTTTGTCCTTCACTGTGCCAACAACCTTTCAGAGTGCTTGTGTTCCCTCTTCAACATCAGTGGTGTGCATTTGAACAAGGATGTAAAGGAAAAGGGATGCAGCCTGCCAAAGAGCTACTCTGGATAATCCTCACTTATACTCAACAGTATACTTATTAGCTGCAGGCGCTCTTGGAGAAAAGCCACTATAGCACCCTAAAGGAGGGTGGTTATATTATAATGCTGTTGATGGCAAGAAACCTGACAAGATAAACCCATTTAGCGCTGCTGTTTGTATGAAGGGCACAAGGGGGGGAATCTTCATAAAGTGCACATAATGTATGTGTCCTTTATGAAGATTCTCTACTCACATTTCTGTTTTTTTTTTTTGCACAATGGCCCTTTTTCAGTGCTGCATGGTCAATAAAACGTGTCTCTTTTAACTCTCAAGTACCAAGCATGCACTTTGAAAAGAGGGCTTTCTGACCTTAACTCGCCCCCCCTCAGTTCACTAAAAGAGAATCTACATGCCCTGTGTGCACTTGGAGCATGTTAAAGGGAGGTGACAGCTCTGGAGGTGACAGGTGGTCTTAAGGCTCCATTGTGCGTTGCAATTTTGTGGCGCTTATGGCTGCGAGTCCTACTTGTGAAGTGCTGTATGACTCCCCTCAAGTCCTCCCCTGCTGTTTTTAGTGCTGCTGACAATAGACACGTCTTTGGAATAGGTGCATTAGTGCACTTTTTGCCATTTGTGCAGAAGCCAATACAGTCACATAATGACTAATAAATGATGAACAAATGAAACACTGCACAAGCAAAATTGATAGCTAAGCACAAGAAAAATACCAAGAAGGGATTGCACTGAAGAAATGAGCATAGAGACGTGAATGTCAAACTACAGTTACAGCCAGGGTGACATGAGGAAACCATGTTATCTAAAGGTTATCTACATTTGTGTATTGTAGACGCATATACTGTATACACACTTATTGAACAGGTCCTTGTGAATGTATTCAAGATTTTGTACACTGTTCATAATTGCATGTGAACCCTGGACCAGCTAATTGGTCTTGTTTCGGAAAAAGATCCACAAAGACACTAAAATCTGAGGGCTTTTGACCAAACAGGCTCCTGGCTGTTTCCAAGGTGTGACTGGCTGTTATTTCTCAAAATGGCAGTTGAGTGAACACAGGTCATTGCTAAGTACTGGAGAGGGATGTGGCGAAAATATTCAGAGTGACTGCTGTGCTGCTGAGCCTGAGTCACTGTTGGCAAACTGATGCCCAGTCTGGTAAGAATCCTGATAATCATATTGTCTGGCTTTTGAGAATATTGATTTGTATTTTAATTATATTTAATTAAGCCCGATAATAATGCTAATGACAGTTTCTGGATGAATTATAGTAATTAAACCCAGTCGCCCAAATAAATGTTTATTTAGATGATATTTAAATATTTCTGCCAATCACAGATATATGTCACATTTGTATGTTTCATATGTAGTTATTGTAGTAAAGTTACATTTCTTTACATCACAGTTTTCAATTGTGTGCTGTGACAGTGCTGTGGTTAAGGTGTGGTTGGGTTTAGGCATAAAAACACTAAGCTGTCTTTAGGAAAAGATTATGTTTTGGCTTTAAGTACCAGGTTATTGTTGTGACAACCACTGGAGGAAATGTACTGACACCACCTTAAAAACACCTGGTTGTTGCAGCCACAAACCACTACTGGAAATGTGCTGATGTTGCCCTAAAAAATACCCAGCAGTTGTCGCCACAACCACTGCTGGAAATGTGTCGAAGTTGCCTTAAAAAATTTGCAACAACAGTTGGGTATTCCAACCACTGGAAATGTGCCGACATTTCCTTAAAATCATTTGATTTTTGTTGCCACAACCACTGCTGGAAATGTGCTGATGTCGCCTTAAAAATATGTGGTTGTTGTTGCTACAACATCTGCTGGAAATTTGCTGACATTGCCTTTAAAAAAACCAGATAATTACAGCAACTACCAGGACTGGAAATGTATCAACATTGCCTTGAAAAATACCTGGTTATTGTCACCATAACCACTGCTGGAAATGTGCTGACATCGCTTTAAAAATTATGCGGTAGTTGTCGCTACAACATCCGCTGGAAATTAGCTGACATTACCTTGAAAAAAAAAAAGATCATTACAGCAACTACCACAACTGGATATGTGCTGATGTCGCCCTAAAAAATACCCAGTTGCTGTTGCTACAACATCTGCTGGAGATTTGCTGACATTGCCTTAAAAAATACCCAGTTGTAAGTGAGTCACCATAACCTCCACTGGATATAAATGTGCCGATCTCTTCTAAAAAAAATACCTGTTGTTTTCTCAACAGTCACTGCTGGAAATATGTCGACGTTGCTTTAAAATACCTGGTTGTCACTCCACAACCATAACTGGAAATGTACCATCTTCACCCTAAGAAAAGCCAGTTGTTGTTGCCACAACCACTGCTGGAAATGTATTGATGTTGCCTCCAAAAATATTCGATTGTTGCCTCCAAAGCTACGGCTGTAAATGAGTTCATGTTGCCTTAAAAAATACATGCTTGTTGTCACTACAGTTACTGCTGGTAACATGCCAATCTCGCC